AAAAAAAAAATTATGGTCGACAGTTAAAAAAGGGACATCAAGATGACGAACCAGAATGTGGTGGTGGCCGACGGCATCAACGTGGCCATAGCGGTGGCAGTCGGCGGCTCCTCCCTCTTCACGACGTCGGCCCAGAAGCCCCCGCCGGCGCCGGGCACAAACTACATCACCATCTCGAAGAAGAAGCTCCTCCAGAACCTGGACATCGGCGGCGGCGGTGGAGCCGCCCGGATCAACGCGTGGGTGGACGCCATGAGAGCCTCCTCGCCGACGCACATGAAGTCGTCGTCGGCCGTCTCCGACGAGAATCAGAGTTCTTGGGATGTAAGTCCCCACGACCTACACACATCACATCTGATGAACACGTGTCAAATAAAGCATTGCGCATCTACATTGCAGATGCCCACCAACAAACACGTGTTACTTTTTTATTAATAATAATATTAATTTTTTTTATATATATTTTTTTGTTAAAATGAAAATAAAAAAATAAATATATATATATATTGATTTTAATATTTTCAGATGCAACAGCCATCAGCACTAGACATGTTTGATGAAATAGCAAAAGCTTCAAAGGGGAAGCAAATAGTAATGTTCCTTGATTATGATGGCACCCTCTCTCCTATAGTGGATGACCCTGATCGCGCTTTTATGTCTCAGCCGGTAATTAGTACTAATATTTTTCTATTTTTTTTTTCTCATTTTATTTTATTTTTTTTTTCTATTTTTATTTTTACTATTTATTTAATTAAATTTCCTTTTTTAATTTTATTTTATTAATGTTATATGTACAGATGAGAGCAACTGTGAGGAAACTTGCTAGATATTTTCCCACTGCCATAGTTAGCGGGAGATGTAGAGACAAGGTATTATTATTATTATTATTATTATTATTATTATTATTATTATTTTTAAATATTAAAATTAATCTTTTTTTTTAATTAATGTTATTTATTTATTATATATACAGGTGTACAATTTTGTGCGTTTGGCAGAGCTATATTATGCTGGGAGCCATGGTATGGATATAAAAGGCCCATCAAAAGGTTTCAAGCACAACAAAGTGAGTCTCTGTCTATTAATTTGTGTGTTTTTTTTTTTCTGTTTAATTT